ACCCATAATAAAGAGTCCTGGTAACTGGCACACAGTTACTAGTTACTAGGTGGCTCAGAAACTGATTAAAGAACCCACCTGCTGAGGCAGGAGATGCAGGAAATGCAGGTTCAATCCCTGGGTCAAAAAGACCACCTGAAGAAAGAAATGGCAACCTGCTCCAGTATTCTTACCTGGAAAATTCTACGGACAGAGAGCCTGGTGGGTTACAGTCTATGGGGTCGTGGAGAGTTGAACACAACTGGGCACGTGTGCACTTGCGTATACACACCCACACTAATGAGTGCTATGAAAATACACGTAATCAAATTCCCTTATGGGAGCCATTTTAATGAAGAGATTAAACCTTTTTAAGGTCTGCATTATCAGTCACTTGTAAATGCATATTTTTAATGTGTTAAGGATACTTTAAATCATTACATTAAAAAAATATTTTCTTTTTAAAATGTAATACAGTCTCATTATAGGAAACTCAGAAATGTCAAAGGCATATAAAGGATAAAAAAATCAGGAGAATGTTACTGGATGTATTAAAGTATTGAGTGTACCAGTGTAGTGGAAAGGATGCTGGAGGAATAGCCAAGAATCCTGGGTGCTAATCTTGACTGGTTAAGAGGCTAGTCCACTTATTTGGTTAAATGTCTTCACACTCTGAGCCAGAGTTTCCCCGTCTGAAAGGGGAAACTGGGAAGATTTGAACTAGAGGAGCTGTATGAGCCTCTTAAGCTCTGACGTGAAACTGAAATTCTGTTTTAGCCATTTCATCAACTTTCATGTTTACCCTTTCCATTTCCTTGACAAATACCTGTCATGGATGTAAGAAAGTCTTCTAGTCTTCAGCAAAATCATTATTCTAAAGGAATTCAGCTGAATTCATGATAATTGCAGTATATTTATATATTCACTCATTTATCCAGTCAGTCATTCGTCCATTCAGCAAGTGAGCCTCCAACCCTTCATCAGACATGATATAACTACTAGGATATGGAGGTGATTAAGAAAAGGTTTTTGCAATCAAGAGACTCCTAGTTTAGTGGGAGAAATGGGCAAAAAATATCCCTATCCCTTTGACATAGGCATTACTACTGTGAAGTATTTGTTGTTGTTTAGTCACCAAGTTGCATCCTGCTCTTTGTGACCCCGTGGGCTGTAGTCTGCCAGGCTCCTCTTTCCATGAGATTTCCCAGGCAGGAATGCTGGAGTGGGTTGCCATTTCCTTCTCCAGGGGGTCTTCCCAATCCAGGGATTGAACCCACGTCTCCTGCTTGGCAGGTGGATCCTTACTACTGAGCCACCTGGATCTCCACTGTGAAGTGCACCCCTGGATTTATTAATGTGCTGGGCAGGGCAGCAGGTGCTGGATGCAGTGGTGAGCAGGATGCCAGCCATCTCTTCTTCCAAGGAGCGCCTGCTGTAGGACAGGAGTCGGGGGCCTGGACATCCACAGTCAATAAAGGAAAAGCAAGTCAGCGTGTGTCCCTGGAGAGCTGACTTTCAGCAGTCTGGCCACCCTGGATGCAAAGGCAGGATTGAGGATGGGACTCACTCAGGGAAGGGGTTAACCCTCAAGTTGTGCTGTCAGAGACTTGCATCTGGCAAGAAGGTAATGCTTAGTTGTGAATAGTGGAGAGTTCGCTGAGCCAGCAAAATGGGAAGTGGGGGGTCAATAAAGCCAATAGCCATGGCATTGAGGGCAGTCCTGCCAGAGACACACAGCCCAGCTGCTAAGAGTGATCAAAGTTAAGGTTAAAACAAGGAGTTTCCAGAAAGCTAGAGGTGAGCAATTTGGAAAGGCAATGTAAATGACTGGTTCTCTCTGGTGCCCAGAAANCAAAATGGGAAGTGGGGGGTCAATAAAGCCAATAGCCATGGCATTGAGGGCAGTCCTGCCAGAGACACACAGCCCAGCTGCTAAGAGTGATCAAAGTTAAGGTTAAAACAAGGAGTTTCCAGAAAGCTAGAGGTGAGCAATTTGGAAAGGCAATGTAAATGACTGGTTCTCTCTGGTGCCCAGAAATGGTGAACATCTATTCCAAGCTTCCATTTTGCAGATGAGGAAACAGTCCCAGCATGGAGGAGGGTACCTATCCAGTATCCCTACAGCTAATGTGCAAGCATTCACCAGAAGCTTGTTGCCATCTGGGAAGGGAAAGAGGAGGGGATGAATTTATTGAGCATCTACTCACGTCTGCCTGAGCCATGAGTTGCACACGTCCCTCCTTCAGTTTCCACTTGCATCAGCTCTGAGTGATCGGCTGAACTGGCATTCTCACTGTATCGTTGAGACAGCTGAGACCCAGACGGTGAAGCCACCGCTTCCCCAAGACCATACATCCGGGGAGAGAGAAAGTGAGGATTGGAACCCGGGCCTGTGTGTCTCCAGTACTCCTGCTTTCCCCCCTCCCTCACTTCCTGTTCTCCAGGCAGCCTCCAGGGTGGATACTTCTCATTTGCAAAATACACATTTGTTGTATAACGAGCGGCAGTAATTAATGATCCATTCCAAGGCAGGAGAAACTTGCCTAGTAAGCACACACGAGAGAAAGAGAAAAATATAGCAGTGCCCTTTTTTTCTGTATAGATTTCTCATTCTCACTAATATTCCCAAAACGAGAGACGGGGAGGACAAGTGACCTGCACCCTGCCCCGAGTCACTGATAGGAGAGACAGACACCTCAGCCCTTCCGTGGAGCAGAGCCCCCTGCCCCACCAAGCTCCTGGCTCACCCCTGCCCAGCTTCCCGTCCCTGTGCCAGAAGTCACCACTTTACCTCTCCTGTTATGAATCACAAAGCCTGTGGCTTGTGGCAGATCATAAATCAGTCCTGGGAGTCTCGAGGACAAATCCCAGGACTTTTAATCTTTAATATTAGACGTGCTTAAAGTGGTGAATATTTCATGAAGGGACTGTTGCATTTTAACACATCATTAGTGACTCCTACCCCGCTCCCTCGGGTCGATTATTCTGATCCAAATCTCAAGATCTCCGCTCTTTCCCTCCGTTTTCCTTACCTCTGGCAACAGTCAATCCATTAGGTTGCATGTGTTTGCAGCACTGGCATTCAGTGGGAGACCCTTGGGGATGTTATTGGAGGGGAGAATTACAGAGAGCTTCCCTGCCTGCAAGAAGCCGCCTCTTATTTACTAGGTATCCAGAGGAGACGAAAGGTACATCGATCTCTCTGTCTGTCTTCTCTCGCTCTTTCTGTTTCTCTTTCTCCCTTTGTCTTTCAACAATCTTGTTCTGAACATTGCGAGTGCTCCCTCTGACCTATTCTTTTCTCCACATTGAGTCTTACTACCCTTTTAGTTTAACCAACATTTATTAAGCCCTGGCTGTTTGCCAGGTACTTGCTGATGCTGAGTATACAACGACTAAGCAGCATTGGAATATATAAAACAAATGAAAGTGGTAACACTCAGAAAACTTTGTATAAGGTCAAATGCCTATCATTGATAATGAACCAGGGGAAACTATACGGCTATTTGATGAATACAAACATTTTTTAAAAAGGAGTTAATGGGTGATAGTTTTAGAACCTGTGTTACCCGGGCATCACGTTCACTGCTGTGTTTTTTTTTGATTGCACAAGGTTGAGAAAACTGATTCATAAGACTTGAAGCTGTAAAAAGCATGAGCTTGTTAGCACCTTGTCTGTCAGTCCCAGGATCATATTCAATGAAACAATGATGATAGGAGAATTTTTTTTTTTAATGAGGACTGCATAAAATCCATTTACCCGGCAACCAGACTTAATGCAACAGAGCTCTCCAGTGTCCTCAGTTCTAGCGTGTAATATCTGAGTGTTTAGTCTTCATTTTTTTAATTATTAAGGAGATTTCAAAATAGAATGTCTTAAGGAACATTAAAATCTAAAAGTTTCAAAGTCTGAATCTCCTACATTAAGCTAGATGTTTCCGTGAAACATGATTTGAAAATACTTGGGTCAAGCCAACCAGAATGACTATAGAACTGAAGAACTGCAGTCATACTTGACTGGCTCTAAGGAAGGGTACAGTATTTCACATGCTTTATTTTTAATAGAATCTATTTTTGGTAAAGCATCTGGGAACATTCTACAACCATGTCTTAGGAAAATCTAACAACTGATTGAATCAAAAATTTCCCCCCAACCTTAAGGAGTGAGCAGTGAAGCAAGACCGATCGTAGCAGGAAGGCAGGACTCTTCCAGAAATGAACTCTGAAGATACATCAGGAAACAGGACATGTGCACCCAGAATGAACTTGGCCAATGAGAAACTATACTTAAGGCAGCCTCGGATGCTAGGCAGCCTCGGATGCTAGCGAGGATGTGTCCAACCACGTATAAGGCATGGCCAGAAAATGACAACACGTGGATACATTGGATGGATGGATGGATGGTTTGGTAGATGGAAGGGAAGGGGACGAGAAGGAAACTGAGGGGAGGGGAAAGAGGCAAGTAAAACCAATAAGACCAACAAAACAAAACAAAATAAAGTCTGGAGATGGTAGATGGAAACAATTTTCCCACAAAAGGAAATCAGAGGTATTATGTTTGGAAGAGGTGGCATTTGATTTGGGGCTTATAAATGAACATGAATTGTTCATTCAGGTGGAGAGAATTCAATTTTCTGATTACACTTTTAGCACAAGCGTACTTTATCATAATTTAAATATTTGAAAACAGGACGTCCGTGTGCAGCCACCAGCTCACTGTCTGTCTCATTACGTCATGAGCTCCTTCAGCACCTGGGCTGCACCTTTGACCTCTGCCCCCCCAGTGCTGAGCAGAGAGCCCGGCAGGAGGGTGACCAGGGCTTGCTGAGCGAGGGAGTGAGTGCATGAACAATGAATGAACTCTGCTAACCGCAGTGGCAGGTGGGCTAAGAACATTCTCATTCCATGGCCTTTGCTGAAATGAGGCAGCTCACTTTTTTCCGAGAAAACAAGGACACCAGGAAAGAAGACTGTTTGGCGCAGGCAGTATTTCACAAGATCCTTTCCTCTTTGGCTTACAGGAGAGTGCAGCTGTCACGAAGGCTATGCCCCTGACCCGGTTCACAGACACCTGTGCGTGCGCAGTGACTGGGGGCAGAGCGAAGGGTGAGTAGCAAAGGACATCAGGCAAGACAGCGACAGTGGGGGCCCCAGCTGCTCCCCATAGAGGACACTTCATTTCCAATGGTTGTGTTCCTGGGAAAGTGAATCCTGTTTCCCACTGAATGCCCTTTTAGTATTAGAGGTACCTGACCGATGGCGAGTCTTCTAGAGAACAAACGCTAAGCGTAGCTCACCCTCCCAAACCATAAGTAATCAAAGAACACTCTCTTGAGTGGACTCATGAAGAAGAAGAATCACATGTTTTATACAAAAACTCCAAAAGGGACAAAGAGGACTTTGAAATGCTGAGTCCTTCTGTGAAACGGAGACTGGTATAATGTAAATAGACTTACCCAGTGATTACCTCTGCAAAATTCGATAATTTGTAGCTGTTCTTCAGCAGTGTCCCCATATGAATCGCATCTGCTTCTAACTAATACCATCTCTTATCTCTTTTTCTTTCCCTTTCTCAATTTTTTCCCGCAGTCCCTGGCCATACACGACACTGGAGAGGGGCTATGACCTGGTGACAGGGGAACAAGCCCCTGAAAAGATCCTCAGGTGAGTTGGCAGTTCTGTTGGGGCATGATACTGGGGCTTGGAGAACGGTCTGATGGGGAGGTGTGGTTATACATCCTTAGTTAATTGAACCTGTGCGTTTCTCAGATGCAATGGTCCAGGTTGCTATGGGAATCTGATTTCCATTCGTCTGGCATCTAGACTTAATAGATTCAGATACTTGAACTGGAGGAGACACTACTGATTATCTAGTCCAGTGGTTTAAAAATATTCTCTAGCCATAGAATCTCTTCCTGCTGCTACCATGAAATCTTGTGTGAAAACTTCAATACTTAAACTGATGAAGACATACAGCAAATTAAGTGGCAGAACTGGGAATCAAATTTTGGTTGAAATTGATTCAGAGTCCATACTCTTCACCTTTGTGCAGACTGCCCCTGCCAGCTTAGCAGTCACTTTAGGTCTTTCTGCTGGCTATCAGGCCTGCTTGGGAAAGCAGAGCTGAAATAGTCCCTATCTTCACAAAGCCCACTGCTAATTAGGAATCAGGACCTAAACTCAGGAAAACATGACTAGCAATATAGAGTAATGCATGAGCTAAATGATTAACGGAGAAAATGACCATCCATGTCTGGGTGAAGTTGGCCAACATCAAGCCTTGAAGGATGCAGGCGACTCAGTTGGGTGGGGAAGTTATAGAAGGTTCTAGAAGGAATGGGAGGAGGGGTCCCCTTTTCCTGTTTTTTTTCTCTGCTTCCCAGGGAGTCCCCCAATGGAAACTCTTACATTGCAGGTCTACTTTCAGCTTGGGCCAAGGACTATGGCTTCCTGTCAGCAAAAGCTTCGTGGTCCCACCTGTGGAGCTGTCCATCAACCCACTGGCCAGCTGCAAGACTGACGTGCTCGTCACGGAAGACCCTGCAGATGTCAGGTAGGGAAGTCATCTCCAGCACCCATACCACGGGCTTGTTAGAGCCCTGGGAGGCCCTCGCTTTCAGGATCTCAGAACTCCTGTGGAAAAGTACTCTTCGTGTTGTTAAAGCAGGCAGCTGCCCAGTTGGTATATAAGAAACATATCCAGTATGCCATGCTCCGCACTCCTGAAATTGACCTCCATGGTGGGTGTTGGTGTCTTTGTATTTCAACATTATTACTTTCCTTTGGGGCTTATATAAAACATGAAAGAGGTTAACACATTATCTAGCTCATTCTGAGATCTTTAATGGTCTTCTCTTATAAAAGACCATTACTTAATAGTATATTGAAAAGTCGTGAAGGTAAAATATTGGAAGATGAGTGCTTTCTCTTTTGACTCTGATGCTAGAAACAGACTTTGGGCTAATCAATAGGATAGAAATGTCCAGGTCAAATGAATTTGCTCTTTACTCATATAACGATGGAGACTACATCTTTCTTTCCACATTTTGTACCTTGTAGTTAATTTCATTATAGACTTACTCTACTGTGTTCTAATTAGTTGCTTACATATCATTCTGTGCTATTATGTAGTGAATCCCTCAAGGTCAAAGAAAATAATTTATTTAGCTTTTTAATTCCCAATCCATATTGGACATCTACTAAATGTTTATTGATTTAATTATACAGGTGATCTTAGATTTGAATCTAGCACTATTCTGGAGCTTTCTAGTGCAGGTTTTTATTCCCCTCCCCCAATCCTGATTTGATTAGTTGAAGAATTCTAACATTTAAATGTTGCAAAAAATGGACTCTGACTTTGCTTTTGGAACTGGTTTGTACACGGTTTATGCGCTCCTGAACTGGAATGTGGAGGCGTGGCCCCGTGCGTCCAGTGGTTGTTATTCCACCACTGCACAGCTGTCTTTTCAGTTAAGATGCTATCGATGTCTATGGCATCTTGATAGGGAGACTCACCTTCTCAGCCTTTCATGAAGGGATGGACACAACATCATTTTTTATTGGTGCTTCTCCAAAGAAGTAGTTTTTAAAAGATAGAAAATTAAAGGGATAACACTTAGAAAATGAAGTGATAATTACTAAAAACTAAGATGGTTTCATGTACATACAAATTGATTCATGGCAAATTATCATGGTTTCCATTTTCGTTAGAGTTGAGGTTAGGGTAACTTCAATAAAGCATCAGTACGTCTTCAGTAAACCTTCAGTGCTAAGGTTACTCAGTATTACATATTTTAAAAATGGAGAAAAGAGCATCTGGTTGAAGGATTCTTCTTGAAGAAGCCTTGTGACCTTGTCTCAAATCAACTGAAAGGTCTCTATCAGACTTTCTCAGAGTTCTGTACTGTTGACGTTGAATTTGTAGTTTCACTGAAGTTATAGATGTCGGACTGGCTGATGGTTCAGCACTCATTCTGGAGTTGACCAAGTCTGACTTGGAATCCCTTCTCTACCATGGATGAGCTCTATGACCCTGGTCAAATTCAACTTGCTAACTTTCCATCTCTTTGCAAAATGAGGATAGTAATAGTGCCTATCTCACAGTATATAGTAATAATAATAACTCATCTCCACTGATCATTCCTAAAAACTTTACTAGCATTATCTCATTATATTCTTACATCAACCCCCAAAATGATGCTATTATTATTTTTATTTTACAAATTTAAAGTCTGAGGTATATAGGTGATACCTTCACTAGGAAGTGGTAAAGCCAAACTTCAGCCTACCATCTCCCCACCTCCTGAACCCATATTCTTAACTCTTTCATTGAAACTGTTGTTGTTGTTCAGTCGTGTCTGACTCTATGAGCCCATGGATTGCAGCACGCCAAGCTTTCCTGTACTTCACTATCTCACCAAGTTTGCTCAGACTCATGTCCATTGAGTCCGTGATGCCATCTAACCATCTTATCCTCTGTTGTCCCCTTCTCCTCCTACCCTCAGTCTTTCCCAGCATCAGGGTCTTTTCCAGTGAGTCAGCTCTTCACATCAGGTGGCCAAAGTATTGGAGTTTCAGCTTCAGCATCAGTCCTTCCAATGAACACCCAGGACTGATCTCCTTTAGGATGGACTGGTTGGATCTCCTTGCAGTCCAAGGGACTCTCAAGAGTCTTCTCCAACACCACAGTTCAAAAGCATCAATTTTTCGGCGCTCAGCTTTCTTCACAGTCCAACTCTCACATCCATACATGACCACTGGAAAAACCATAGCCTTGACTAGATGGACCTTTGTTGGCAAAGTAATGTCTCTGCTTTTTAATATGCTATCTAGGTTGGTCATAACTTTCCTTCCAAGGAGTAAGCGTCTTTTAATTTCATGGCTGCAATCACCATCTGCAGTGATTTTGGAGCCCCCAAAAATAAAGTCTGACACTGTTTCCACTGTCTCCCCATCTATTTCCCATAAGGTCATGGGACCAGATGCCACAATCTTAGTTTTCTGAATGTTAAGCTTTAAGCCAACTTTTTCACTCTCCTCTTTCACTTTCATTAAGAGGCTCTTTAGTTCCTCTTCACTTTCTGCCATAAGGATGGTGTCATCTGCATATCTGAGGTTATCGATATTTCTCCCGGCAATCTTGATTCCAGCTTGTCTTCATCCAGCCCAGCATTTCTCATGATGTACTCTGCATATAAGTTAAATAAGCAGGGTGACAGTATACAGCCTTGACATACTCCTTTTCCTATTTGGAACCAGTCTGTTGTTCCATGTCCAGTTCTAACTGTGGCTTATCAATTTTAGATGCATTCAATTCTTCTGATAACAGAGTTCAAGTAAACTGGTCACGGTGGGGGAGGCAGAGTCAGGAAGTTTGCATGCTGTGTCATTCTGCTGAGAGTGGCCGTGGTCTGTAGGGTGATTCAGTTGCCTTTTCTCCTTCAATTTGAATTATTACATTCAACAGCAAGCCAGACATGGAGAGGACCATAATATCAACTTCCAAGGACTTTAAAACATCTTTGGAAATACTAAAACAGAATTGAGAGTAGTATAGACTAGAATTTATTTCAGGGACAATTTTATATGTAATTGAAAGGAATACTGTAGTAAGTTGCAGGGGGTGAGATCTTCAAAGGGCATGAACCGATAGCAATTAGGTGTTTCCGAACTGCTAAGAACCCTGTGCCTGGTTACAAGGAGGGTGTGCCTTCGTCAAGTTGGGACCAGGTCAGAATTGTTCAGGATGGGAGAAAGGATACTGTTTTGCAGTTTTGGGTGCTCCTTCTCAACCCTTTGAAGAATGTTCAAAATATACTTCAAATATTCGAAGAATGTTGGTTTGATTAAGTCACTAAATTATTATCTTGTTTGGGGTGCCCACATGTCTTTGTCTGGGTGGCTTGCAACTGCAGACAGCCTTTTAAGTCTTACCTTCATGTTTCTTCTCACGTGCCATCAGTTTCATTGCAAGGGTGGATAAAAGATTGTAATCAGCACCACTTAAAAGAATCTGTGCTCTGTAGGTTGAGTTTTCCAAGCTTCACTAATAAACCTTGTTTGACACAACATTGCCCAAGCAAGCATGTCATAGGCGTTTAAAGAATTAATAAGTTTCAGTCATATGCTATGTTAGAAATTAATAAATAATAGATCATAATTATAGATAGCCAATAATATGCCACAGAATCACAACTGTGAGATTAAAGGAAAAAAGCAGAGTGAGGAAGGACAAGATAAGCATTTGGATAGGATTGGGAGGGAAAATTTAAAGCTGCTTTCCTATTTGATTTTTGTTTTGTTTTGGTTTTAAATCCATGACAGAGTTCAATTTATGTGAATTTATGGGATTTATGGACAGATATGAATTTATAGACAGACATGAATTTATGGAATCTCACACTAGGAGAGACAGAGCAAGTTAGACTCAAAAAGTACAGGCTCAACTCCTCTGGGTGTCTAAATGTAAAAAAATTGATGATGACAAATGTTGGTAAGGATATAGAAAAACTGGAACTCCTATACCTTTATAGTGGGGATGTAAGTTCGTGTGACCACCATGTAAATCTGCCGGGCCGTATCTATTAAAGCTGAGCATCTACTTACCCTATAGATGTGTGTGTGTGTGTGTGTGTGTGTGTGTGTATGCACGTGCTATGGCGCTTCAATTCTGTCTGGCTCTTTGCGATCCTGTGGACTATAGCCCTCCAGGCTCCTCTCTCCATGGGATTCCCCAGGCAAGAATACTGGAGTGGGTTGCCATGGCCTCCTCCCAGGGATCTTCCCAACCCAGGCATAGAACCCATGTCTTTTGTGTCTCCTGCATTGGCAGACTGGTTCTTTACCACCAGTGCCACCTAGGAAGCCCCTGTCCTATAGATTGCATGTATGTGTGTGTGTGCTAAGTTGTTTCAGTCATGTCCCACTCTTTGCAACCCTATGGACTGCAGCTTGCCAGCCTCCTCTGTCCATGGGATTCTCCAGACAAGAATACTGGAGTGGGTTGCCTTGCCCTCTTCCAGGGGATCTTCCCAACCCAGGGATTGAACCTGCGTCTCTTACATCTCCTGCATTGGCAGCCTGGTTCTTTACCACTAGAATCACCTGAGAAGACCACAAATAATACATTCAAGAATAGTAATAGTAGTATTCATTTGTACTGCCGAAAAGCTAGGGGGAAAATGCAGATGCCTGTCAACAGCAACAACAACAAAAATAGATAAAACAATGCGATATTATTAATGCTGAATATTAAGGAATACAACCCTTGCACACATCACCACTGATGAATTTCACAAATATAAGGCTGAATTACAGAAGCCAGACACAAATGAATATGTATGGTTAAATAAAGATCCAAAACAGTAAAGGCTAAACTAGGATATTAGAAAGAAAATAGGGATTACCTTGGGGTGATGGAGGACATAGTGATTTAAGGGACGTATGCTGGTAATATTTGATCTCTTGATCTGGGTGGTGGTTATATGGGTGTTTTCATTCTGTAAAATTTCACCTATCTGTATAGATATAATTTGCACATTTTTCTCTATGTATGGCATATTTTGATTAAACATAAAGTCTGTTATGTAAGGTAGTTCATTCTTCAAACAGCATAGACTGTAGAGCCCAGTTGAACCGCCTGAGCTCCAGGCCAAGGTCTACCACTTGCTTGCTGCAAGAGCTTATCTGAAGCTCTGGTGGCCCTGTGGATAACACAGATAGAAGACGATATGTGCTGGATAAGAGAGTGGTGAGAATTTAAAGGCATGTTGTTGTTCAGTTGCTCAGTTGTGTCTGACTCTTTGCGAACCCCATGGACAGCAGCATGCCAGGCTTCTCTGTCCTTCACCACCTCCCAGAGTTTGCTCAAACTCATGTTCATTGAGTCATTGATGCCATCCAACCATCTCATCCTCTGTCATCCCCTTTTTCTCCTGCCCTCAATCTTTCCCAGCATCAGGGTCTTTTCCAGTGAGTCAGCTCTTTGCATCAGATGGCCAGAGTATTGGAGTCTCACCTTCAACATCAGTCCTCCCAAAGAACATTCAGGGTTATTTCCTTTAGGACTGGCTGCTTTGATCTCCTTGCTGTCCAAGGGACTCTCAAGAATCTGCTCCAACACCACAGTTCGAAAGCATCAATTCTTTGGCACTCAGCTTTCTTTATGGTCCATATACATGGACCTGTACATGACTTCTGGGAAAGCCATAGCTTTGATTATGTGGACCTTTGTTGGCAAAGTGATGTCTCTGCTTTTTAATACGCTGTCTAAGGTTGTCATAGCTTTCCTTCCAAGGAGCAAGAATCTTGCATTCACCATCCTTGTAAAGCACTGAGTTTGGCACATAGTGAACTCTCTAGAAGCATTAGGTCTTATGTTTGTTGTTATTGTGGCATAGTATAGTGTATTCCTATTCTCTTTTTAATTCTTTCTCTTTCTTTTGCTGAAAGGCTTCATCTAATCTATGATGTATCTTAAAATCAATAAGGTCTTGGTATTGAGAATTTGCATTAACCCCTTTGTCATGGGACCTGAGGAAGATTTAAATGAATATCTAAAATCTTGTTTAGTATGGTAGGTCCTGTGGCTTTATGGATATGGGGTATTTGCAGAATAATTGAAGCTGTGTACACAGAGTGCCTTGGGATTGGAAATGAAGGAAAAATTCCTGACCAAAGGAATTAGAAAAGGATGTGCAGGAGAGAAACATTGGCAATTAACCTTGAATTGTGCACAGGATTCGGCTGTGTGGAATTTAAGGCGGGAGGGATGACTTTCAAGTCTGAAGGGTTGAAGGGCCAAAGAAAAGATCTCTCCCCTGGACAGTGCCCATTCTCCGGCCTGTTCCAGCAGGAAGCTGCTGGGAATGAGAGTTTTAGCATTCAAGACACTAATGATGTCAGCTACAAAGGTGGAGAAGCGAACTCGAGTTAAATTGTGTGCAGATTTCCTTTCAATTCTGAAAGCCTTATCTGGCCCCCTCCTGTGTACCAGGCACTGTGCCAGGCACCATAGGAATACAGTGATGAATAAGGGCTACCTAGGCTTTCAGGGATTGCATGGTGCAGCGAGGAGCGCTTAATAAGAAACTTGATTTGAGAGATGAAATAAAAGATACTCATGGCGAGAGAAGCATGGCAAACAACACTTATTGCTACACAGTGGGCCTTCTTCATAGTTTCACCGAGAGCTGATTCTTCTTAGAAGAGAGACGCAAGAGTTGCTATTATGGTTGGAATAATAATCATCCACAAAGGCCAGCTTTGGGAGCCCCTCAGTGATTTTTCTATGATCTCAAGTCAATGAAAATGAAATGGTGAAATACTGTTAATTCCCGTACGACACTGAAAGAATAATGGGACATCAGAATGCAAGCCAGCATCACTCACTTGGTGACAATTTTCACATTGAATTGGTTCTTGATAGAATTTCGAAGAATTCCTTGTTCTTTTGACCTCTCAATTCCAAGCACTAAAAAAAAATTTTTTTCAAGCACTAAAAATTTATTTAACACCTACCTTGTGCCTCCTCATTAGTACAGTGGTGAGTATCCCCGCCTGTCGTGTGGGAGGCCAGGGTTTGATTCCCTGATGGGGAGACTGGCTAGATGTTTCTGGGCTTCCTAGGTGGCTCAGACAGTAAAGAATCCACCTGTGATGCAGGAGACCTGGGTTCGATCCCTGGGTCGGGAAGATCCCCTGGAGAAGGGAATGGCTACCCACTTCAGTATTCTTGCCTGGAGAATCCCATGGACAGAGGATCCTGACAGTCTGCATTCCATGGAGTTATAAAGTCAGGCACGGCTGAGTGACTAACACCTTCACTTTCGCTCACCACGTGCCAGGCTAAGTATCGAAGATAGAGACACATTAAGACAGAGATCTGGGTGCGTTAAATGGGACAAAACTGCAAACAAAACGTGTTCTACTTTGTGACTGTTGAAGAAGTTAGAGGAAACTTTCAGGGCAGAGAAAGGACCCAAGGAAAGAGGTGGTTTAACTCACTGGGGAGTTAAAGGAAACTCTTCATGGAGGAGAGGGCCTCTGAGTCAAACTACCAAGTCTTAGCAGGATGTCACTGGGCCACTGGTTCTCAGAGTGTGGTCCCTGGACCAGTATCCTCAGCATCACCTGCCAGCTTGTTAGAAAGTCAGGTTCTCTGACTCCATCTGTGGCAGACTGGCAGTGACTCTCGACGGGATCAGTTTCTAATCCCTAGAACCTGTAAATGTTCCCTTATTTGGGAAAAAGAAATGGTCTTTGCAGATGGGATTTAGTTAAGAATCTTAAAGAAGGTTGATTATCCTGGATTATCTGGATGGGCCTCAAACACCATTACAAGTGCACTTCTAGGAGGGAAGTGGAAGGAAATGTAACTCACACAGAGGAGATGGCAACATGAAGAGGGAATCTGGGACTGGAATGACACGACCGCAGCAGGGAGCGCTGGGAGCCACCAGGAGCTGGGAGAGGCCCAGGGCATCTTCTCCTCCAGGACCTCACGGTGGCCCGGGGCGGGGGCGTGGCGCAGCCTTGCCAAGACCTTGGCTTTGGCCTAGTGATACTGATTTCAGAGTTCTGGTAGTTTTAAGCCATCCCAGTTTGTGGCGATTTGTTCCAGCAGCCATAGGAAATGCATACATCAACCAAGACCTGAATCGGATGTTTCGAGGGGGGCCCTGTAATCTTGTTTAAGCAGTGATCTGATTTAACTACTCCTCAGGTGGTTCTAGTGTCCGCTGACATTTGCATCCTGGCAGCAAAGCAAGTTCAGGCTCATCTGGCTTCCATAAAAAACGAAGGATGGAAACACTTGAAAATTCCAGGGTATCAACGGCTTTGAGTCCTGAAGGATTTATAGGCTGCTGGGACTCAGCGTTTCTGTCTCTCTCCACCCCTTATCTCTGTCTCCTCTTCATTAACATTGTTGCCAGGCACACTCTCACCAACAACTCCAGGCTTACAGCCTCAGTCGGGCATTGACAGAGCAGAGAGATGCCCTGTTTCCCTGTGATTTAAGCAAAAGTCCCAGAGCTGAGTGAGTGCTGAGAGCTCCCTTTGTGTGGCACTAGACCAGGTATTTCCTGGCATGAGCTCATTTCATCTTTACCCTCATTAACTAGATGAGGAGGCTGAGGCACAGAGAGGCTATGTAACTTGCCCATAGTCACACAGCCAAGAAGTGGCAGAACCAGGATTTGAGTCCTGATGATCTGAATCATGACTCCATGCTCCTCGCCTCTAGGCTATGATGCTTCTTTTTGTCTCATTTGGCAACATTTAGGCTTCCCTTATGGCTTAGATGGTAAAGAATCTGGTTGCAATGCAGAAGACCCAGGTTCAATCCCTAGGTTGGGACGATCCCCTGGAGAAGGGAATGGCAACCCACTTCAGTATTCTTGCCTGGAGAATTCCATAGATGGAGGAGCCTGGCGGGCTGCAGTCCATGTAGTCGCAAAGAGTCGGACATGACTAAGCAACTAACATTAACAGTAATATTTCAAATAAATGATTAAAATTAACCACACCTGGGTCACTGACCCACTCTCAAACCAGCAAGGATGGAAGGCTTCAGCATCAGTCCTTCCAGTGAGTATTCAGGGTTGATTTCCTTTAGGGTTGACTGGTTCGATCTCCTTGCCGTCCAAGGGACTCCCAAGAGTCTTCTCCAATGCCACAATTCAAAAGCATCAATGTTTCCGTGCTCAGCCTCCGTTATGGGAAAGGAGAGAGTATTCACCTCTCCAGGGCCCCAGCAGGTGCTCCTGTGGGGTTGGTACGGTACACCTGGTCAGGTGCAGTATGTTCTAGAAACATGGGCCATCGATTCTAAGGAAAAATCCTCAGCAAAAGCACTCTAGATTCTTCCCTGTGTGGTAGACACTGGGCTGGCTCTGGAAATGTAAAGACCAGAAAGAGAAGCGGGTGTGGGAAAGTGAGTGTTTCTCGGAATCCTGCAGATTTGAATATGAATCTTGACACCAGAATTGCTCCCTGAACTTCCTGGGTCAAGTCAGTTCACCTCTTCCAACTTCCATGTCTGAATCTAGAAGGTAGAGACTGTGTGTTTCCTTCAGAGGGCTGTTGTTAGGCTCACGTAATGTACATAGAGTAACTAGTACAACACCCTAATGTGTAACTGGTATTCCGTGGGTGAGAGGTTCTAGACAGCATTATAGTACACATAAGGAAGTAATCATCTGACCCAGTTGGGTTAAGCTGATGAAAGATGTAGTTTGTGGCCTGGAAGCAGATGCAGAAGGGCCCCTGCTTTCCTCTTGGTCACCGAAGGCATCCGCAGCAGAGGCGAGGGATCAGAGCGGCAGGGCAGCAGGGGGTGGGGGGTGGGCAGCGATGAGGCTCCCCCGGGCTGGTGGTGTCTTCCCCTGCGACACCTGGACAGGAAGGCCCGGGGCAGCAGAGCCTCGGGTGAGCAGAGCCCTTGATGCAGGCCTCGTGTGGTCTGATACCCTGCGCACCCTCTCCCCAGGTCTAGAGAGGAGGAGCACGGAGTCTTGACTCAGAGGCTTCGGACAGTCCTGGTTCGGCCACTTCCTGGCTGTGTGACTGTGGACAAGTTGTATAACCTCTCTGTGCCTCAGTCTCCTCGTGTATGTACTATGGCTGATAATGGATAAAGATACTCAGGAAGCGGAATTCACATTTCTTGCCTTTACCTTCCTTACAACTTCAACAGATTTTTGCAAATGAGTGCCTCTGTGTGTGTGTGTGTGTGTGTGTGTGTGTGTGCGCGCGCGCGCGCGCACATGGGAGGCAACCAAGAAGCATACTTCCCTTCCCAGGGAGATGCTGAAACAGGGGTGGGCTTCTGCAGCCTTTATTAGACAGCCTCAGCACCCAGGTGAGTGGGTGCTGAGACTTTTCCCTTCACACCAGTTACTCATGTAGACATTATTTTCCCAAAGGGCACAAGAACGTCAATAGGTAACTCACTTACCTGCTTCAAACATGGAAGAGGGAGATTTGGGCAGAGGGAATGGTGAAGGCTCTGGAATCAAACTCCCTGAGTTCTGATTCCATCTCCACCACTTACCAGCTGACCTCGGGCAATGTATTTAAGCTTTGTGAGCCGCGGTTTCCTAACTGCAAATGGGAATGATAATTGCTATTGTGTCTTTGGGTGTTTTTGCCGATTGAATGAGATAACACACTTAAACTCTTAGCACCACAATCATAAATAATCATGGCTCACATGTATTGAGTGTTTATTTTGGATCAGGTCCTGTCTAAACTTTAGGTGCATTAGTTCTGATTTCTCCACAATGACTCAGTGATGGAGTTACTACCATTTATAGAGGAGGAAACCGAGGCACAAGAAGTTTAAATCATTTACCCAACAGGTTACAGGCAGTGTGTGGCAGAATCAGAATTTGAATTCAAGTTGGAGGGTGAGTGCTCAGTAAATGTTGGCCTGGATCCCCTGGAGGAGGAAATAGCAACCCACTCCAGTACTCTTGCCGGGGAAATCCCATGGACAGAGGAGCCATGAGTTGCAATGAGTTGGACACGACTGAGCACAGAAACACTCAGGACCACCGCCACAAGCGCGGATTTCTGGGTCCGCATCAGACTTGCCCACCACCAGGCTGTTGATGCAGTGGGTTCTCTGTGAGACTGAGGGATCCATGCATTGGACCGCCTGGCCTCATCTTAGTTGACCGTTGAATCCGCTGAGTGCGTGTGGAAGTCTGTTCCATTCAAGTGGAAGGTGAAATATGAAACGGGGTCAGAGGAGACTTTGGGGGCAATAGGGCATCTGTTTAGCACTCACAGATGGACTCATGGGATTTGGACGTTGGAATTTGCCCTGTACCACCTCCTCCCTCCCGTCTTTAGGAGTATGAAGCTCCTCTGAGAAGCATCAACATAAAGAGCTTCACACTCCACACCAAATGGATCTGCTCTCTACCCGCATCTCTTCCCAGCCTCGCTGGCTGTCACTCAGCCAGTGAGCCCAGAGTCGTATATTTTCCCCCATTTTAGTTTAGCGATCATAATAAAAGTGAAGTCTATTAGGATGTGTTTCTGCCCAGCCTCGGTAAATCTCCTCAAACACCATCCGGCTCCGGATTTCTGTTAGTCTTTGCCACTGGGGAGGATGGAGCAGACGTCGACTGTCAGCTGGGGTGGACGGCCCACGGCGCAGCCTCCGCTAAATGAAACTCAAATGGAGACTTTGGAATATAAATATTGAAGTGACCCAGGTTGGATAAAGGGGAACCAGTTAGCTAAGCTTCTCTCTTACATGCAGGAGATGCTAAATTATTAAAAGTTTAATAAATGTAATAATAAATATTTGATGTTGAATTATAGGAGGCTTTGCAGATACAGTGAAACTGAGAAACGACTTGTTATATCTGCATTAGAAGTTAAACACTTTTCAAATGGGACTTCTGACGTTAAAATGGGACCACAGATCTTTCAGTGGGGAAAGACAGAAAGAAGGGAAAAAGACATAAAAGTATGATTTTTTTGGGGGGGGGCAAGCTCGCTGGGCTTAGAGTCAAGATGCCTGGGTTTTAGTCCTGATTCCACACTGAAGACATGCATAAGCAGCATTTTGGCCTCGCTTGACTGG